TTTCAGCCCCGCAGCTTTTATAGGTCCTGAGATGAAAGTGCGTGACAGACGCACACAGAGACACACAGACGCACAGACACACAGACACATGGACACAGAGACAACCTCTCGTCAGTATGCGTTTTTCGCATTGCAATGCTGCAAAAAACGCATAAAAATTGTTATGGTAAAGAATTAAGATGAGGGACGGAGGAAAGGGAGAGGCTTGAAAGATTGTACAGCTGAGAACATGTAGCATGAAGTCGTATGTCATGTTATGGAGTCATGAAAAAAACAATTCATGTAAGAGAAAATCTGCCTGTGTTTCATACGAGAGATGGATACGGAAATGTTTTTGATTTTTGATTGTTGTCAATGCAAATTTACAAGAACTGCATGTATTTTATCCAAAGGCTCAATTCACTGATCGAATTGATTAGTACAAAAAGACATGGAATATACAACGCAGTGTCTCAGGACATCAGCCGAGTAGGCCTGTTAAAATAAAAAGGCAGTACGAGCCTAAAAAGCCCTGTGAGGAAATGGAGGAGAACAGTAAGCAGGGATCGGAACAGCGGCCCAATCAGCAAAGGGTACGGCAGGGGCCGCACCAACCCTAAGTCGACAAGAGCGTGGTAGAATAATAATGTGGCGCTTTTTGGAAAAATATCAAAATAATCGCCACAATTACTGAACCAATTGGCGTAAGTTAAAGTTTTATGATGTAACTCGGATTCTCTCGCACGCCGGATACAAGCACATTTGGAAAAACCGGGAAATTGACTTACCAAAATTGATTTTTCGGTTTGGTTTGTATTTGATACGTTTTGCCCAGCCAGATGGAAAATTCTGGCCTGGAGTAACGCGAAGCATTTCGGCTGTTCGAACATGACGAACCAAATCGAGATCAATGAACCAATCCACCGAAAGTATCACTGTATGGCAGACTTGTAGAAGAAAAGCTGTCAATTGCAATGACTGAAAATTATTTCAGTGGCTTTCCACATTTGCCTCTAGTGGCTTCCCACATTTGCTTTCTGTTAGAGACGAAGGCACCCAGAAATTAGCCTTAACTGTAATAATACGTCGTTTTATGCACGTCCTAGATATGCCACGCAGTGCCGGTTCAGCCCCTACATTTCCAAATTCCATCTGCCCACAGGACCCAAACGGCCCGTGGGGTCTTTTCCTTACATTAGGAGGCCTGTGCCAGTTTTTGAGTCCATCTACACCACAGCTCCACAGTAACTACCCAAACAATCTTGATAATAAACTATCTTTTTCTGTAAAACAAATCGTTATTTTTTTCCCAAAAAGTAGGTAAGATACTAGTAAAATCTTCGAGATCAGGTGATGCTCAACTTACACCAAAGATAATCGAAACGTCAACTGTTTCTGACCGAAGAGCCGATGGCCTAATGGCCTTATAAAATTCAAAATCACTAGCACGTTTACTATTAGGCGGTGCAGCCCCAGTCAAAGCAAGTGGAACAGAAAGTCAAACTATGAATTATGGTAGATTGGAGTATTGCAAGTGTGTTTATTTCAGTCATGTGAGGTCCAAAAAAAAGAAAATATTCAAACCTCAACTTCACCAGATAGCTGCGTAGAATTCCGGCATAATTCTACTGCTTTTAAAACAGCAACACGTCTGCTTGTTCGCAGCAGATCATCCAAAATTGACACCGAACATATTGCCTTCAAATAATCATAGATAAAATTAGCAAGTGTTGTGAACGGAGCCCCTTTTCAAAAATTGCTATTGACCGGGAGGGAACTGAACCATTGTTCTTCACATCCAGACGCGTTGTGCTACCCACTACACTACCGGCCCATGTGCTCCAACAGCAGCCTTGCAGCACATTTACTGCGCATCTGCATTTCAAGGCAGGATACACCTTTCTTATCTAAAGCAGTTTTCGTCTTTTTTTTTTTTGTAGCGGCTTCTTGGCTGGCTTATTGCGGATTTTCCACGGCGCTGGTGATCAGCATATATGTGCGTTTTTAAAATATTTTTGTCTGAAGCGCATATTTTTAACACATTTTTGTCCTAAGTACCACATACGCATAAATACTAGGTCTTAAAATTTGGAGCATACGGGCAATTTGAATCCTGCGCCCAAATTCAGACGCAATTTTTACAGAAAGGCCGGCATTTTCAAATTTCCAAAACGAAACATGCCCAAATATCACTGTAAATAAGGTAAAGATGCGAAACGCAATAACTGACGAAAGATAAAGAGCAAATGCTGGTAATTGTGAGAGCTGAACAAAAGGATTACCCGCACAGGATTATGATACTAAAAATAATGAATTCACCTGGCAATCTAGCAGAATCATTCGTGATTTTGTCACGTAAACGCTAATTTTTTGTGTTTGATGGCGGCATGTCTCGATAGATTCACGAGAAGCAGGGCGGAATGCATAATGTCTGAAATTTTTCATGCGCTAGCAATAAATAGTATTAGTAAGAATCGGAAGCCCATCCAGAGAATGAAAGCGGGGATTTGTTAATAATATTATCGGGATGCTCCGGGCATCAGTACCAGACTCTGACGCTACACACTACACACCGTAGAAAAGTAACAGGAAGAAAATTAGGGAAAAAACGTAGCAAAAAGCAAAAACTGATCTTACTATGATCAATTTCTTTATGTACTGCATATTTTAAAAATAAAAATGAAAAATTAAAATTATCAAGACCAGAAATTATCTATGGAAATCCTTGGAAAACTTTCGAACTTAATTATCCTAATTTTAAAACATTGAATGAATTTTATTAAGTTCGAAAGTTTTCCAAGGACTGCGAAAAGGTGGAGTGTCAAAACTAGAATAACTAAAATAATGTCAAGTGTTCTCAAAATTCCTAAAGCAACATCACTGAACGACACTTCTCATTTTCTGATGATGGATTTTTCCAACAAGACGGTAGGCAGGAAAGCAGAGCTGCAAACAATTTTAGCAATTTTTCGAGAGAAAAAAATGTACTTAACCTGTTTTTTCTTACCAAAGAATTATTGAATGTGTTAAAACTTTCTAGCAAAAAACACAAGTCCTTCCTTCCGTATTCACTCTCTACAAGAAACCGAGACATTCGAAGGTAGTCCAAACGCTCACAGAACTACCTGCTGCCAAGGTCCTACTTTTAAGACTGATTAGTAATAAACTTACACAGGTTTTGACTCAACGGTATAATGCAATACTAATATAACATCCAAACAAAGAAATATAGGTTATTTCTTTAATACCAGAAGTTGAAACCGCAATTTCTAGCAAGATGAAAGAGCTGTGCCATGACTGCCAGCAAAAAAAGGGCGGAAATGGTTACAAACCTGTACATATCCAAGTGGTCGTTCCCGGCTAGCATACTCAACAGCGTTGATTTACCCGTACCCTGAGGACCAATAATACCAACCACGGTGAAATTTGTATTTGTCGCTGATAAACTATTCTGCAATAATTTCCATCCGTTATTAAATCCTCTTATAAAAAATAACCTTAAAATTCATCAGGGGGTCTTGACGCCATGTATTAGCGAATCACTCGCAGGCTACTGCCTTCTCTTCTAAGGGTTGTTTGATAAGCAAAATCGGCAAAAATTCGATTTCATAGTCTACGAATACCAATTTACCCCAAAAAGGAGTCAATGAATTTTCAGGAACAAAAGCTCCAAGTGCAAAATTCGCCTTGTTTGGTGGCATAACCCAGGCTGGAACGCACCAGGCGGGCCGGTGCGATTATGCGTTTTTGCACTTCTCGTGCC